ATTAGTACTCCTTCCGTTCCTTTTTGAAACTTGTGCTCTAAAATAAGTGATGCATGTTTATGTGGTAATAAATTATTTTATTAAGGGTAAAATGAAAATTTTAAAGTTAAATTGTTACTAAATATAGAAATATGTCATTTTATTGAGACGGATTGAAAAGAAAAGTAAGTCACAGTTATGCAAACAAATTAAAATAAAGAAAGTAATAATTTATAAGGACCACCATTATATTATATTGTATAACCATCCATCAATAATAAATGTCACCACCCAAATTGCGTATAAACGAACCACACGCAAACTAGACTATTGTTGAAAATATATTTATTTTAAAAAGGAATTTTTGTAGCCAATGTTTGACATTTATGTAATGACTATTCACATGTAATGGCAATGTTATCACATCATGTAATCACATATTAGTATCCATCTCTTTTTCAAATGCTTCATTAAAGTCATAATTGAGGTTCTATTTTGTATTTAAATAAAAGATGGTTAAATTGTATACAAAAGTCAAAATTTAGGTTAGGTTATACCCAAAATAAACAGTTTCTTTTTTTATTCAAATGCTAAAGATAATAAAGTGCAGATATTTTTTTTGTAGTTAAATAAAAAACTTTTAAGAATTCTATAAGTTCTTTTATGTCATTCCAATCATTATCATCAAATCTATATGTCATATTTGAATTATGAGCATTCCAAACCATTTGTAAAGGTTTCCTATATTCATAAGCAACTTCAAGCATTTCAAATAAAGAATTCCATCTAGTACACACTGATTTTGGAATTTTTCTAGGTGGAAGATTAAATTCACGACAACGATTTTCAAAATCTCTACGTCTAGACTTAACTTGACATTTAAAAATAAAATGACATGCAGTTTCAACTTTTGTGCAACCATCATCATACATTGCTATACCATCTCTAACAATCAAATTATATATGTGTGCAACACACCTAATATGAAAACCATCAATATAAATAGGGCAAAGAGACGGTTTTAGTATTTCAACAGCAGTTCTATTATTAGAAGCATTATCTAATGTGACACTACTTATTTTATCACAAATTCCATAGTTTTGCTAAACATCTATAATTGTTTGAGAATATAACTACCGGTTTTATGCATTTCACAATATTTATAACCTAAAATTCTTTTTTGCAAAGTCCAATTTTCATCAATCCAATGCGCAGTAATAGTGAAATAATCATTACCATTTACACTACGGCCCATATAAGAAGTAATAGCTATTTTACAATGGTTATAATAAAATAAACAACGAAGATATTGAAAATGTTGAGCTTGATAATCAAAGATAGCCTTTTTAATTGTATTTCTAGTAAAACCTTTAAAATGTGGATTATACACAATTTGAATATAATGAATAAAACCGGGATTTTCAGCAAAACTAAATGGCAAACCCATAACAACAATCATTTTAGCTAATTCTTCAAGATCTTTTTCTCTATTATATGACTGTTGTATACTAGAACCAGAAACATTAGAAGGATTTAATTGTGTTTGGACCATATTAGAGCCCTCTACTCCTACATTTTCAGAAGGGTGGTACCATTTTTTTTAGCTTCGGCTACAGCTTTAGCATGCAAAAATTCATTTTTACAACATGACATTAAATGATTACTCAAATGTCCCGTCCCACCCTGTTTTCCTACAGTTTTATGATTCATTCTATGTTTACATTTATTACAAATAGCTTGTGTTTTATCTTCATTCTGAGTCATAAATTGCCACACAACTGATTTTTTAGCGCGTTCTACCTTAGTCCTAGGATGCACGGGGGGAACGGGAGCAGGACAACGAAAGGGAGCGGGAGCTGGGGAAGAGGGATTGGGAGTGGGACTAGTAGCCGACGGTGGCTCAGTTTCATCATCATCATATTCATCAACATTATTATCAAAACTATCAACATAAGCATTAACATCATCATGTTCATCATCTTCAGGTAATTTCTCTTCAAAATTACCAATTCTTCTTTGTAAATGTTCATGATAATGATCTAATCCACTATTACTATCAATATTAAAAACAATTTCATCAACATGCGTATAATCATCCGTATTTATTCTTAATTGAGAAGTACTACCGGTTTTTTTATTTTTCTTGGATTTTGAGCTAGATAAATTAGTGAACGAATTAACTATGGTTGTTTTACCCTTTTCAATAATGTTTTTTCCGAAATCCATATTCAAATATAAAAAGTGAGTAAATTATATATAATACGAAAATGATTAGCAAAGCTTTAAACAAATAAATAACTAAATAAGTAGAGACTAGAGATTAATTAATCACAAAATAAATAATTAAATGCAAACAAATAAATAACTAAATGAAAAGTGAGTTGAAACGAATGTACCAAACGTCTACTAAAAAAGTAGACGTGTATGACCGGAAGCCGAAAATTGAAAGTTGAATTTTGAAGCTCCAATTTCCAAAGACCAAATTCGTAATTTTAACTAGAATAAGAGAATTTAGAGAGTAGAGAGATTAGAAGATATTTTTGTGAGTGAAAAGAATGAAAGATTAGGGGTATTTATAGTTTAAAAAAAGGATGAAAATGTAGTTTTAAGAAGGTTGGGGTATTAAAAAAAGTTTGGGGGGTAGGGAGGTGTAAAGGGGAGTTATGGGGGTGAAAGAGCCATTGGTGGGGCCCAAAACCCGTTGCCCAACGGCTCTCAACGGCTATAATTTTGAAATTTCAGATTAAAAAAAAAAACAAAAAAACTGAACGAACCGGACCAGAACCGGGACTAACCGGATCGGGACGAACCGGTAAATCCCGGTTTCCGTCCCGTTACCCCTCCCGGACCGGCACAATACCGGATCGAACCGGTACTATCCGGAATCGAGACGGAACCGGTAACGGACCGGAACCGGTACCGGTACCTCCCGGTTCCGTTGCCAGCCATAAATGCTACTGTGTAATCGTGGCATGGCAATTAATTCATTATTTAAAAAAACATTATTTTTCTATTAAAATTTTTCATTGAAAAATATTCAATAGTAACGGTTACCCTCGACACTCGTTAAAAAATCATACGATATATTTGAGGAATTTTTTTTTAGTATATGTATATATAAAGTTTAAATTTTTTAATTAAACATAAAATTAGATATTGACTTAATAATTTTGAAATTCCAATCATATATACCATGTTATGTATAGTACAAGGCCTAATTTTCCACCACAATCAAATAATGTTATGCCGATAAGCTTGTACGTTACTACTGAAAACACATGTCATCTATATGTGATGACTACACTTTTTGGCTGTGAATCAATGGAATATTTTATTTGATCAAGCAGTGGCGGATCTAGAATTTTATGGTTATGGGTGCTCTAAAAGTGGAGTCAAAAATATAAAAAAGACATGTTCACGGTGAGATTCAAACTCAGGATCAACAACACTACAAGAGCCTTAAGTACCCACCTAGGAGCTAATGGACTAATTAGACCATTTGTTCATTGAGTGCTCTGTGTTAAGTTTATATAAATCCTTCTTAATTTGTACACATATATATATATGTATTTCGAGATAAGGTTAAGGATTGTTCGAGCATCCGGAGGACTCTATGTGGATCCCCCACTGTGATCAAGAGCAGTGGCGGAGCCAGTATTTTCAATAAGGGGGTTCAAAATCCGAAGGAGTAAACATACGAACTAGTCGAAGAGGGTTCAACATCTATTATATACATCTAAAAAATAATTTTAACCATGTATATATTATATACATAATATTTTCCGCCGAAGGGGGTTCGGATGAACCCCTAAAGACATGCTAGCTCCTCCCCTGATCAAGAGTCTGGACACAAAGGTCTTGATACTATCTTGAATTCTTGATGTGAAATGTTGGTTTATTAGCATTTTAATAGTAATATTTTGTATATTAATTTGTTAAAACTTAGTATAGCCATTCTGCCATGAAGATGGAATAGAGGACGTGGGAGTTACATGCATTTGTGCCTTATTAGTTAGTGGTCAATTAATGACCATAGGCTTGTGCACTTTGCTGCTTTCTGTGAACGTTGGAAAGTTGGCCGTTGTGCAAGTACACGTTAGAGGCATTGGTTACCCCTCTCATTATTCCATTCTTTACTCCTCAATTATCCGTGTAACCTATGTAACTCCTAAGACCATTATCTTCACTATTTACTATCCCATTATCTTCCTATTCATTGCTAGGAAGACTTCTTGAAGTATAAATAATGGTGGTTTTCATTTGGTTTGTTTCACACAACATATAAGAAAAAAATAGAGTGAAAGAGTTAGTAAAAAAAAAAGAGAGTTCTTATTAGTTGAGGGAGGTGTTCTTTTTTGTGGAGCTTTGGACTCAACTCTTGTCCAGAGTTGTTGAGTTATACTTTGTGAAGACTGTTGTATCCTGGAGGGGACAAGTCAAGAGGACTACTGTTGGACCGGTGAAAACATTTGCTGCAGTGGGCTTGAATCTCCTTAAAGAGAGCGAGATATCCGCGCCTTAGCCTGAAGAGATTTCTGTTTCTTCATTTTATTTCAATTGTATCTTGTATTTTTTGTTATCTTGTAAGTTTTTCACTAACATGAAACTTCAAAAATGGCTATTATGAATAGAAATTTCGCAGCTCCAATGTGGGCTTTAAATACCGTGTGGGAAACAAAAAAAAATAGAAATCTCATTCATGAACTTAAATGACGTGCAACTTTCTTTTGTTTTCTAATTTTAGAAATTATAATGATGACAGGTAATTTGTAGATTAGTGCTGGAGAAAACAACATGAATACTATATTATCTTATCTCCTTATGTATTTGATTGCGTAATAAATTTTAGAAAGCATAAAATCAGCTACCTCTTAGCTTTAGTTATTTTTCTTCAACGAAAAGCTTTGGTAATTCGCACTTAAAAGTATTTTGGAGAAAAAATCGCCATATATTTATTGAAACTTCGGAAAATAATTTAACCAGTAATTATTAAATAAGATGCATCATCCTCAATCGACATTCACAATCATCATATAATTTTTTACATATTCAAATGTTTAAAAATACAAATAATCTTAATTTTTAGTAGTAAAATCTTAATACAACATCTTAGTAAGAATTCAGATATATATTCAAATTGAGATAGCTAAATCTTTATACATATGTTAATATTAATCCGTTCATAATCAAAGGATTTACTTACCATTCATACACATACTAATTAATTCTTTAGATCATCTTCATTTGTGATTCTCATGGTGTCCACATATGATTTCCCAACAAGCTCACGGGTGAAAAATCCTTTATAATAGTCAGTGACTCCGATTTTTTTGAATTTTGGTGGATTATGAACAGTAGCAAGGCTACTTGATGGACCTAATATACCATCCAATCTTGGACTCTGAAATGTTGCTACTGAAATCCTTTCTTTTTCTAAGCTTACCACTGATCTATGCTCTATACTTTTGTATATTCCATTTGAGAAAATCTGCTCCAAAAAAAATAAAAAAGAATAAATAGTATATTATAAAGAAGAAGATAAATAAATAGAAGTATATTATAAAGAAGAAGATAAGAGCGGGGCTACAAGTAGGGGTGTCAAATATGAAATATGGCCTACAAAATATTTAAGGATTAGGCACAAGATAGTTTAATATTGGGCTAATTTTAGACCAACTCAGTATAACTTATTTTGAAAGTGATCTTTAATTTAGCTCAATATTAACTTACTTATATATAGCTTATTTCTATGATTTACTATAATTTGAATTTACGGTTTAAGATTTAGTTTGATAAATACAAGCAAGGATTCGAGTCTCACAACTCTAGTCCCAAGTCAAGGTCAGGGTCAAAACCCAGGTCTCAGGTTCTATGTCAAAGTTGGACTGAGTTTCAGGTTTTGGGTCAAAGTAGGATCTCAGAACCCGAGTCAAGATCGGATTTATGGTTCGAGGTTAAGTCGCGGGTCAGGTCCCACGTCCTTGGTAGCTAGGGATCGAATATTGAGTCGGGGTCAGATCTCGAGTCAAGGTCAAATACAGGTCTCAGGTCATGGTCGGATCTCAGGTCTCGAGTTAGGGTGGAGTCTCAGGTTCAGTGTCCTGAGTCTCGGATCGAGGTTGAGGATTATAAGGCTCACGTCTTGGGTTTCTAGTCAAGGTTGGGTAGAGGTCAGTATAAAGCTCTGATACCATAAAAAAATTGAATATGTGTTGAAAAATGATACTTAATCAATGAAGGCAAAAAGTTATTAAATAAAGTTACAAAGCAATTAATAAGACTCCTAAACAAACTGAACGATTGATGTATAACTAATGTAGACTCCTAAATAAGTATGAACTACTAAAACACTAATACCACTAAACTACTAACTAATGTCTGAACTGACTTGTGATGCTCTAATAGTCAGGTCTTGGATCTTAGGTTGGGGGTGTGATATCTTCTTGTGACGAAAGGTCGTAGTCAAATATCACCATATAAATTAAAATGATTGCAAAAATAATATTGTACTACTTAATAAATATTAAGAGAAGATGAAGGAAGTACCTCAAAAGCATCTCCAACATTGACTATGAATGCATTAGGGAGTGGTTCAATGGGAATCCAAATTCCATCTTTTCTAATTTGAAGACCTTGAGTTTCATTGACTTGAAGAAGTATTGTAAGGCCTGTTGCATCTGAATGAGGAGTAATTCCCATCACTTTGTCAGGTTGTGGACATGGTGAATAGTAATTCATCCTCATTGATTGCATTCCTTCTTCAAAAAGACTCTTCACTTCTTTTTCATCAATTTCCAAAGCTTTACCCAACATTTCCAATACTTTCATGCTTAGCGTTTTTATTTCATCCACGTACTCTTCAATCGTCTCTCTACATATGCATTAATAAGTCACTTGATCTTTGCTATTCTATTATTGATCTATTTAGTTGACGTACCTTTAAGCAATAAACTTGTTAATAATAAAATATGTACCTGAAAGAAACCCCAATCTTTAGCTGCAAAGTGCAACTTATTAAGCTCAAGATTCATGGAGTCATGATCGTTAGAGTTGATCAATCGTTGCATATCAATTACTGGAACTTGCTTATAATTTGATGTTGCAATTGAACGGTCTTGATCATCACGTACGTATCGCGATGGAATCGTCACGAGTTTCTTCTTGGCCAGTTCCTGGACAGAAGGAACTTCCATGTACTTAACTTCTATTTCTCCCATATTTGTTTAACTGCTTAATTCTATGGCGTTCCAATATTGAATAATTTGATATTATATTAACTCTACCATCCCTTTCCTTTCACTTGTGTCCACAACTATTATAAATCTGTCAGTATAATAATTGGTGGGCAAAATAGGACAAACAAAGACCATAAAGCAGATCTAGATACCGCCAGAAGCATACTATATATGGTTATATCCTTGTTATATCATCAATAACGTGGGACAATTTAAACAGTTTCAATTTGTTTGTCTTATTATTATTTTTTAATTTAGTCTATTTAAAAAAGAATGTACAATTTTTTAATATCAATTTTCTATATGACATGTTTAAAACTATAAAATTCAAAAGTCTTTTGTTATTTTCTTAAATTTTGTGACAAGTCAATCATACCACCATTATATAAGTTACTAGAAACTTATAAGGACCACCGTTATATAACCATTCATATGCAGATGTCGCTACCCGAATTGCGTATAAATGTACTACACACAAACTAAACTATATACACGGAATAATTTACAAATTAAGGCAAAACAGGAAATAATGAGTAAGAAAACAAAAATAAATGTTTAATAAAAAATGTCATGCCTAACCAGTATGTATGTGTGTGTATATATATATTTTAAATTCTCTAATTATACACAAAATTAGAGGTCGACTTAATAATTTAGTGTCTATTTGAGGGTGAAGCTTCCAACATGATATTCTTTAAAATATTTTGTTGATATATATTATTAGATTAATTTAGTATCTTTATTGAATTAATTATATTTATTAATGTTAAATAAAGAAAACTTTTACATATTCAAATGTTTTAAAAAATAAACCGTCTTAATTTTTAGTATTCTAATCTTAATACAATATCTTACCTAACGTCTTAAGAATTCAAATGTATATTCAAATTCAGATACCTAAATCTTTTTACATATGTTAATATCAATCATTTGATCATAATCAAAGGATTTACTTACATAGGTACTATTAATACAAGTACTAATAAATATTTTGAATCATCTTCTCTGGTGATTCTCATGGTGTCCATATATGATTTTCCTACAAGTTCATGGTTAAAAAATCCTTTATAATATTCAGTGACTCCCATTTTTTCGAATCTTGGTGGATTTTGAGCTATAACAAGTTGTGGCGGAGCCAACTTACACTCAGGGGTACATCTGAACTCTTTTTGATAGAAAATTATATTATTTATACATGGTTAAAATAATTTCTTAGATATATACAGTAGATGTCGAACCTCCTTCGGCTACTTTATGTGTCTATTTTTGCAAATTTTGAACCCCTTTATTGAAAATCCTGACTCCGCCCCTAGTAACAAGGCTACTTGATGGACCTAATATACCATCCAATCTTGGACTCTGAAATGTTGCTACCGAAATCCTTTCTTTGTCTGAGTTCACCACTGATCTATGCTCTATGCTTTTGTATATTTCATTTGACAAAATCTGCTCCAATAAATAAATAAATTTTATTACAAAGAAGAATATATATTAGACCAGGGCTACAAGTAGGGGTCAAATATGACCTACAAAAGCGATGACTCGCCAAAATTTTTAAGGATTGAGCACAAGATAATTCCATATTTGGTTAATTTTAGACCAATTTAGTATAATCCATTTTGAAAATGATCTTCAATTTAGCTTTACATTAGTGGCCGGTTATAGCTTTGATTTATTCTATTATTTTTTACTATATATAAGTCAGGGTTTGAGTTTTAGAAGTCTAGTCCCAAGTCAAGGTCCGGTCCGTAGTTAGGGTCAAAACCTAGGTTTTGGGTTCCGTGTCAAAGACAGATTGAGTTTTGGATTCTGGGTCAAAGTTGGATCTCGGTGTTTGCAACAAATTTTAAAGTGACAAAAAATAAATTGCAATAAAAAAATATGAAAAAACATAATTTTATTCATCAAGATTGCAGGTAGAATTTTGTTGATTCCTTGATTCTACTCTCCTAAGATTTATGCATATTTAAGGACCGTTAGTGATGTATTTCTCGAATTAGAATGATTTGTTAATTGAGTGCTCTATATTAATTTTATAAAATCAAGACGAGGTTAATGGGTGCTCGATCACCCGGAGGATTTTACGTGGGTCCGCCCCCGTGATGAAGAGTCTGGACACAAAGGTCTTGATACTATATATCTTGATGTGAAAAACTTAAAAAATGATTACAATGAACAAAAATCTCATTCATGAACTTAAATGACGTGAATAATATGCATTATATTGACTTTTACCTAATCAAATTAAAGGGGCGGAACCTACTGCAATAATTAGTTTGAAAACTTTTTAAAAAGAATTAATTGCAAAAGTAGGAAAAAATTAATCAGTGTTTTCTTGATTTGTAAGGTGGACAACTAATATGTGACAACTATTTTTAGTACGGAAAAGGGCCAAAAATACTCTTGTACTATTCGAAAAAGATTTAAAAATCCCCTCATCCACCTATTGGGTTAAGAATACCCCTCAATCAACTTTTTTGGTCCACTATTACCCTTTAAACTAACAATCTTATATTTTTTAATTATTATAATTATTAATTATTATGTGACATCTTTCTATTGAATAAAGTTAATTTCCAATCCACTAAACTTTCTTCTACCCCACCCGACCATATGTCACCCCCTTAACCCAAACCCAATTTCAACGTTTTATTGAAGTTGAAAGATTCAAGTTGGATTTGTACATATTTGTAAGCACAACTTTAACTTCTTTCTCCAACTTCTGCTTCACTGTCTATTTTTTCCTCTTTTCCAGTTGCGTCACAAACTCAGAAAACATCTCAAGAATAAAACGATTTACTTAGAAGAGAAAAGACTTCAAAAATCAATGTTCCCAACTTGAATCTGTCAACTTCAATAAAATGTTGCATCGAAAATCTGATTATTTTGAGTGAAATTGATTTTGAAATCGCTTAATAAGAAAAGGGGAAGAAGAAAAATAAGATATTGGGTTTAGGGGGACAAGAGATGATTCAATTTTTTTTAAAATTTCTGATGGATCTTTTAATTGGGTTTGGGTCAAGGGGTGACATATGGGTCGGGTGGGGTAGGAGAAAGTTTGGTGGATTGGAAATTAACTTTATCCAATAAAAAGTCGCCACATAATTATTATTATTAATAATAATAATTAAAAAATATAAGGTTGTTAGTTTAAAGGGTAATAGTGAACCAAAAAGGTTGACTGAGGGATATTTTAACCCTATAGGTGGATGAGGGGTATTTTAAAACCTTTTTGAATAGTACATGAGTATTTTTGGCCCTTTTCCGTTTTTAGTAAGACGATCAACTAATATGAAACGAAGGAAATATATATTAATAGATCAAATGAATTATATGTACTAACACAAACTCATAAGTTTAAATCTTGTATCTATATCACTTAAAAATCAATAAAACACACCATTATTTCATAATTTTATGGGAAAATGTTCAAATATGATATTGAACTTAGAAAAACAAATTAGGCTCATCTATGCCATTTCTATTTGATAAAAGGTTCATCCATGTTATTCTTTGTTAGCTAAAAATAATTTCAATTTTATGAAATTATTTTTTTACAGGTGGTCAATTACGATTCAGCCACATTATTAATTACATCATTTATTTTAAAAGAGAAAAGACTCAAATATAATCATCTATGTCATTCGTTAAATGTTTTGGCTCATCTATGTCATTTCAGTTAACCTATTACATAATGACATAGATGAACCTTTTCTTAAATAGAAATGACATAAATGGGTCAAACTTTTAACAAATAATATAAATAAACCTTTTTTCAAAGTTCAATTACATATTGAGATTTTTCCCCTAATTTTATTTATCAATAAGAGAATGACTGTAGCAAGTGTTGCAGAGTTATTACTAGCTTGCTTATATATTGTATAATTGTGTTAGGTGATTTAATTAATGGTCATATATGAAGATACAAAAACATGTACATAATAAGGTGATTTATCATAGTTCAATTTCGATATAGCTAGAGTTTTTTTTTTTTTTTTTTTTAAAATAAGCTTGGACCATTGGTCCCATTTTATTGAAAAAGAACGTCAGATGGACTCAAAATGAGACCATGAAACAGAGAAAACAAACATAAAAAAAAAAAACAAATAAACAATTGTACATTTCCAGTCATTTCTTTTTCATCTTCTTTCTTCCTTGCATCTGAAAATGTCTTCTTCTTTGTAGGTGTACCTTCCGGTGGGGAATCTCGTAAGAGAGTCTAAACCTAGTGCTCCAAATTTGTAGATCTGTAAGTATTTCTCTTTCCCTTTTTCTTTTGTTCCAGCTGAATTCTTCTTTAATATTCCCCATTTGATGTGAAGTAGGACGGAAATTGCTCCCAAATTACTTCCTACTGATTTCCTAGCTGGACATAAGGACTTCAATGCATATCTGGTTCTGCGATTCTCACTTTTCGATGGTATTTGTTTCACTTTTTGTTGACTGATATAGCTTAGACTAGTTTGTTTTTGCGC